TGAAACTTTAAATGATATTTCCATCTGTAAGACCTAGTGTAAATTTGACCACAGAAGCAGTTTCAAGGCTGGAACTTAAATCATCATGCTATGACAAAATATTTTCCCCTTGCTATTTTAAATCAGCAATTCCAGATTTGATACTTTGCTTGCACTTCTTACCACCAATAATGTAAAAAAAGTTTTAAAATAAACTGCTGGAACTGAAATTCAAACTGAATGGATTTTTAGCCCCTCTCCATATTGTAGGTTTTTTGGAAGGAATTAAAACACTTCATATGAAATGGTATCAGATTATTCTGTACACTACATTTCAAGCCCTACTTGGATTGTGTCCCTTATGGAGTTGCCAGTGAACAGAAAAATGCTGACTGAAATCTAATGGTGTAGTTCTGTTCACAAAAGAGTTTTTACATACCTCTGGAAATTGAAGAGAAGGAAGTGAGTTGATGATTCCCACATGCACACATTTAGGGGGCTAAGGTCCCTTCTAAAACAGCATGGAAGTTAGCATAGGGACTGCAATGGGTGGAGGATTTGCAAGAATCTTCAAAATTGTCTTCCATTAGTACGGATTAAAAGCTTTTCTTTAAGTGGGACAACACAATTAAAGTCCCTATTTATCTTAAAGATAGAGCCTTGTTTTCATTAGAATGAGTAATATAAATTTCTGCAGTGTGTTTGCAAAGCGAAAGGAGATTGGATTAATTCTTCAAATTGGAAGAGCAAATCAATCAATTTTCTCATTTTGAAAATAAATATATATTTCTTGAAGAAGCATGCATTCTACCTGGTTGAGTCAAAATTGAAATTTTGATTGTTAGAACCTTTGTATAATACATAACCCAAATTCATTATGCAATAATACCTTCTTATAGTGAGTCAAATTTCTGTTTTGCACACCCAAAGCTACTAAGAAATATTTATTGAAGGCTAAATCTGTGAACTGATGCACACTTACTTGGTAGTAAGTCCCGTTGAAAAAAAGATGGGATTGTTTTACGTACTGATGAAATTGGGCTGACAGCATCCAACAGTTTCTATAAGCAAAGGTATTGTTGCTCGATGAGATGTTAAACATCCCTGGCCCAAAAAAAAAAAAAAAAAATTGTGAATCTCCCTCCTCCACCCACTAAGTAAAGCATACCATTTTAAGTTGCTGTGTTAGCAGAATTGTTCTTCCTATTTCCATTGCACAAGTGACTGTACAAGCCCTGTTGGGCCACTTTGCAAACTCAAAGTGAGTGGCTGCACAAGTGCAACTTTAGTTGGATTCCCCCCCTTGAGCATCGTTCAGAACTTGGTTTCTGTGAGAGCACCGTGCTTGGCGCAGATGATTGACAACACTAGCAAAATAGCAGTGTTGAATACAACCCTCTGAGCTCAATGCTAGATGCTATTACAGCAAATTGAACCAGAAGATTAGCTGTTAAAAACAAAGCAGTGCTATTTCTTTTGTCCATGAGTCGCAAAACGTGCACTTTCATCCTGCCAAAGGTAACATCTTTGGAAGACTAATTCTGTATTCACAGAACTTTCCTTGAGTTAAGATGGACCAGACTGGAAAGCAAACAAAATTAATGCTGTAGCCAGTAATATAACTGGGACAATGTGTTCAAATATTTTATAGTCTTAACAGATATTTTTGTTTAGAATCTGTATGTATCAATGAGAAGAACTGTCAAATTCTTTGGTGACTTTGGTGAATTGCTTTCACCAGAGAAATAAAAATTACATTAAGCAGTATATAAATCATCACTTTTCTGGCCAGGTGATACACCCACTAATGTTACCTGTGCCTTGTCTGAATTGAGTCTCAGTTCAGAACAGCTACTGCCTAACCTGGATTTGATGAAGAGGGGAGAGAGAGAGCTGGGTGTAATCTGCATATTGATGACACTGCACCTCCACCAAGACAGCATTCTCCAGTGGTGTGATTTGTATGTTGAAGATCATGGGGAATAACACTGAACTTTGTGGAATTCTGGTACACAGTTGCCAAGGCACAAAGCAATAATCTTCCAGCACTCTGTTATGGAATTAATCATACAAGTAGGAGTGGAACCACTGTAGTCCAGTTCCTTCAGTTCCAAACCAGACAGCCCATTAATAAGGCTACCCTGATAGTACCAAAAGCTGCTGAGAGGTGTAAAAGAATCAAAATCACCCTCATCCAGCAAAGGTCATTAAACAGGTCAACCAAGGCAGATTCTGTTCTGAAACCAGACCTGAAACCCAGTCAAATGAATCCTGATAATCTGTTTCATGCAGGAGTGCCTGGAGTTGACCAGCAACCATCCATTCAAGCACTTTGCCCAAAAAAGGAGCATTGGCTGATAACCTGTAATCTGGGTACAGGTTTGTTTCCTTTAAAAGTGGCTTAATTTTGTGAAGATACTTTGGGTGCTACCACAAAATGGCTGTTCTGGACACATGGCCAATTACAAAAAGTCAGACCTGGTAAATTAAAAACAGGTCGTCATGAATTTGCACATGGTTTTTATAACACTTAATCCAATTGGTTTTCAGTATTACTGTCTGCAAGCCAATTTAGTCACAATCTTAGCTTTTTGTTGGCAGGAAGTTTTGAGGAAACAGAGAAGACTGTCTGGAAAGCATCTATCGTCTATTTTGTCTAGTTGCCAGCCTGGCAAGATTGTTTTCCTGTTGTACTTTTTTGATGCTACATCAAACTGTGTTTCAATGTATAAAGCAATTGAATTTCTATCAGTGATGCTCCAAGAATAATTTATACGTTAATGTTAGCTCCATTAGAAAAATCTATTAACAAAGGCGCTATTTGACGGAATGGCAGGATTTTTAATTTATAAAGAACTATCAGACTATGTGGCGAGAAGAATTTGACAGGTCTTTTCTTCATAAAACCTTATAAAGAATACCCTCCAAAAGCTAGATACTGCTGTCTGGAGAACAGTAGGCTGATCTATGGCAACTTCCTCCATATTCTCTACAGGAGCATGAGAAATCGGAGGCCCATGCCAGTTGCTGTGTGCATGTCTCCTCACACTTCTCTGTTCTAGATAATGGAAGGCTTTGGAAGATTTTGACAAAGATAGCTGCAGGTTTTCTCATGCCATCATTAGTTAGGAGTGGAAAATGTTAATCCATTTAAATTGGAAGGAGAATGAACTCAAATGAACTGGGTTATAGAGTGGGTTGCTTCAGATTAACTCCAAACATTCTTGAATGGAACCAAATTATCTAAAACCATTTGAGAGAGAGATAATGCATAATTTCCAACATGCCATAAGAGCTTTAAAGAGATAATTCTACAGAAAAAGAAATGTCTGAAGGATGAGGTTCAGGTGTACTGCTTTTCTTTCAGGCAGAATATACTGGTCCAATTTGCATGTCACAGCTACCCAGGGTGGTTTAAACCCTGGACATTTAGGATTGTGTGCTGTTGTTTTTGTGTTCTATGTCTGTTTTTTCTTTTCCACAACAGCCAACAATTCTGAATTCAGATGTAATGGTCAGCAACCCATTGCTTAGTTCAACCCAGCTGCAGAAGGAGCAATTGAACAGGGAGAGCCAACATACTCACTGTCACTTCCTTCAAAACAAGCCCCAATGTTAAAACAATTGTGATGAGCAGGCAGGGACTCTGTGAAGCAGCCCTGTTGTCCTGACAAATGAACAGGGTCTCTGTAAAAAATAAGTAACATCAGACATTATAACGAATGGGACCTTCCTATAATCATCATAATCTACATCAAGCACACAGGCATAAGACAAATTAATACTGTAAACATAAGATAATGATTCTGCTGCCCTCTTTATATTCTTCCTGTTTCAGAACACATAGACACTTTGTGATTGATGCAAGCTTTATTTGGAAGATTCTTCAGTTCGATTGTCAAGCTAGAGGAAAACAAGCAAAAAGGGTTACCTCAGTCCAGTCAATAATTTTAGGAGAAAAGGGTATTCAAATAAGGACTTGTGACACATTGTAGAATATACTAATCGTATTTTTTCAGAGGCTTGTGTTCTTACAGACTTTCCTGATCCATAGGCACAGATCCTTGCTAGGTGATGAAACTCACTGTATGAATTTGAGGGAAGATATTTTGCAGTCTATGAGGAAGGGTTCTTTTGAGATCAGAACAGAGTAAGGATATTTGCTAACCCCATGAAAAACCTTTGTACTGCATCAAGAGAAGAGAGTCTGAGAAGACAAGCCCATGCGCTGTAGTATGTAGGAATTATCAGAATCCTAACATTAATTCAGAGAATTCCAACATCAAAAAGATGAGATTAGAATTGACCCTTTCATACATGAAAAGTTTTGCCTTTTGTAACTTTATAAATTAACCAAATTCACAGTGGTTGGGTGTTTACCAATACTTATATTAAGCTCACAAAGCAATAAAATACAGCATTGGGCACCAGCTAGAATATTATAATTAGCTTTGAGTAGTAGCTCATATAAAGAAAATATGGTTAGGGTTGGAAATGTGAATAAGGAAAGTAACAAAATTGTTAGGAGCTTGAGCAGTGAAAAGAGAACAGAAAGCTTGATCAGTTAAAAGTCCACAATGAAGTTAGTATCTAAAGTCAAATGAGAGTGGGAGGGGAAGAGATTGCCTTAGATGGCTGCCTAAAAGTCCTAGAAGTTCCAGATATGATAATAAGCAATAGTGTTGAAAAAATGTATTCTGTATGCACCTGTGATAGTTTATATTAATGTTGTACTTGCAGGCTGAGCTTGAGTATTTAAGGAAGTATTGGGCCTACATATTTGTGAGCTGTGGCTCAAAGGAATGTAGATGCAGGAAGAAACTATTCAGCAATTTAAGATGTTTACTAAGGAAGTTTGGGAATTGCAAGTTAATTTGCTAACCTAGAATAACATCAGTTATGCTGTTTTAAGCATCCCACTTCCACTGAGGTGGGATAGAATTTGGCTTCACATAAAATGGAATAATTTATTAAGTATTACAAACATCAAGAGGAATTAACCCCCTTCTGTTTTCTCACAGGAAATAAAACTTGATCAAGTTACTAAATCAGCACTTGCAAGAGAAATTAATTTTGAAATTGTCTGCAAAAAGGTATGATGTCTAATATTTATTATATTGTAACATATAGATGCTTACAGGAGGAAACTCACATATATTTACCTTTTTTTTTTTTTTTTGGATGCACACAATATGATGGGAGTGCCTGAAAGTGTCAGAGAAACCAAGAGCATAGCCACCAGGAAGCCAGATTCTCTCATTAGTCTGGTCTCCTAGCAGGATCGCCTAAGGCAGAATGGGCAAAGTTAAGGCACTATACTAAAATGCATTTACTATCATCAAGAGGAACAATCTCTTAAGTAGAAGAGAATGGGTATCTCTAATGGTGATTGAGGTGGATTAACTCCTTATGGGGAGCTGCAGCAGTTGAAGACAACACTGGTGGAGGATTTGTCGAAGACAACAACAGTGACACCCAAGAATGTTAAACCTCTTCTGAATATTCTTTCCCTAAAAGCCTTATGATAAAACAAGATGAAACAATCCAAATTACATCAAGATGATGTACTTGAAGATGCACTAGAAGATGAAACTTCCAGGTCAGAAGGCACTCAACCAGCTACTGAGGAAGAGCCAAGGACAAGTTCAAATACTGCCATTGCTGATGTCGCTGCTAGATCAATGCCAAAAGGAAGTGGCTAACATGCACAGAGGCAAAAGGAATGTCTGATGTTCATATAAGACATGAAAAGTATGACTTAAGGCAAACTGGAAACCATATATCAGGAAATGAAATGGTTATAAATTGGCAGTATTTGGTGTGGGCAAACTAAAGTGGACTGGAATTAGACTTTTCCAGTCAGACAAACACAAGTGTTTTACTGTAAAAAAGACAAATTCAGAAGAAACAAAGTGGCTCTGATACTTTGGAAGGATACATGCAGTAATGGATTATAATGCAAAATCCAACCAATTTATATCAATCAGAATTCTCAGGGACCTAGCAACATAAGCTTCATTTAAATCACTGCCAAAACAAAACCAGGAGCAGATTGTAGTAGCTCTTAATCTCCCAAAATCAGATTAAAGCTGAAAAAGATAACTATGAAAAGCATAGTGTCATGTAAAATCCACATAAACAATAGATTTGCCTTACTGAACTCAATTGTCCATGGCCCAAGAGAACTGTGGACTGAAACCAGCAACATTATTCAGGAAGAATGGAACATGACATGCAGCAAAAAGGAAGAAAAGGACTAGCTGCATAACAGAAGAAACACAGTTGCTAAAGACAGGCAAAAGCAAAAGGTGACAGAAATAGGGTCAGAATCCTGAATGCAACTTTTTAGTGACTATCACCTAGAGATAAAAAGAACCATTAAAAGGAAGTGAAATATAAGAAAATAACAAATGAGGAAAAACAAGAAACCTTTCCCAGAAAATCCAAGAAATCAAAGGGAAATTCAAACCTAGACTGAAGCCTCACATACCTTATTTATTTATTTATTTAGAATATTTATATGCCGTCCTGTCGCGAAGGCCTCAGGACAGCTTACATAAATAAATAAGAATAATATAGAACATAATACAAATGAATTTCAGATCCACCCTGGCTGCAGATTAAAAACATATATAAGCCAATATTAAAAGTTATTAAAATATTGTTGGAATAAAAAGGTCTTAACCTTATAGAACAATTATTTATAGTTGGTAGATGATCATTTGCTAGCACTTCCAACTTGCAGGAAGAGATAATCTAGACGCCATGGAATGGACAAAAACTTTTATCAATTTTTCAAAGCACCTTGCAAAATATACGAAGTTACCTTAACAATTGCATAAGCTGTAAAAATGTAACACTGAAGTGAATTACATTTCTTTTTAAAAAATTAGTACTTAAATATTCAGGTGCAAGTTGAACCTTTTCCATCACGACTTTCCTATCACAGGTTCCTTGTTTAAAATAGTCACATCATTTTAAAGATGAAAATTCTTTGCCTGTCCTACTCTTAGAGAACTTAATAACAAGCATACCTTGTAACAGGACTGAGAAATATGTTCATCACTGAAAACTAATTGCACCTTCTTATGCCTGCCAATGCCCATCTTACACCTGGAATTCTCCACTATATATTCAACCCTCTCTTTTTCTTCTAGTCTTTTTCAAAGTATTTTAATTTGTTTTACAGCCTAGATCCAGGAAAAAGAGTAAGATGTAGGAAGATGTGCTTACTCAGTATGATATCATTGGAATGTAGAATGTGAAGTCCTTTGATCTGATCTTTGCTTCTAGCAAAACCCCCACATAGATTTGAGTTGCCAGTATAGTGGTTTAGAGTGAGTATATTGCGGCGGGGTGGGGTTTACATTTTAAAAGGAAAAACCAGTTGTGGTTGTAATATGAGATGCAGGAAACAACAGTATTGGCCTTTTGGGTACTGGAAAGTCCTTGGTTACATCAGTTTATCCAGTTTTGGCCAGCACATTTTAACTCAAATACCAAAAAACATAACATTTAGAAGAAAGAAACAAAATAATGCTCAGTACTTGCACAGAAGGAATAAAGAATAGGGTGTGCTTAATTTAGCTGGCAATGTCCTCACAATACTTCTGGGGATGGGGGACAGAATAAAGAAGAGAGGAGGAGATAACACTTTTGCCCATATGTACCTCGTCACATGTGAAGATATTATAAGCATGACTTTTGCTATGTTTCTCCCATCACAAATGCATTATGTAGCTATAAAGTTTAGAGCCTTCCTGGAGGGCCCAGGTGTAGGACCCCCTGTTCTGAGCATCATCCTTTTAACAAAATAGATTTGCCTCAGTAAATGGTCAGGTTTTTGAGACTTGTTCTATGCATGAACTAGATTTGATTGTTAATGATTGAAAAGTTGTCATTTACCTGTTAACTTTTATTTTATTGTTGTTAGTATATTTGGTTCAGAGTGTTACCTTTTTTCCTGAATGTAATATTTTATTAATGGCTTAAGGTACAGCTACTAACTTGCAACATTAATAAAAGGATAGAATTACAACATCATTAAAAGAAACCTTAAATAATGCATCCTATGTATTAATATTATTTGACATTCTTTAATGTGCTTTACACCCAATTGATAGTCTTAATTTCAGAAGTTTAGAAATTCACTTCCACATAGTTGACATTTCTCGGTTAGACCAAGGGTCTCTGCTTTGAAAGCATTATTTTAGGGTGATGATAATTATATTTTATTTTGCTTTGGCAGCTGTTGCTATATTAGTAGCAGAGCACATAATTATTAATATGAATGTTTATCATTCTTTGCTTTAAAAAAATGTTATGCTATCAACAAGCCAAAAAGAAATAAATGGCTGTGAACTCTTTGCTTTAAAAAAGACTGTTTCTGAGATTTTCTGGTATTTGCTGGTAACATCTTGTTTAACATATAATTTTTATGATCAGAGTGCATGGGATTCTTTTGGTAGTTCTTTTACTGTTTATACTGCCAACAAATATATGTGGCAGGCAGGTGTAATTGCTTGCAGGATTACAATTTTGGGGTCTGCACACCCTCTGCTGTAGCTCTGACACTGAGATGTCCCACATGACTTCACTCATGGTCCCCCACAGGCTGAAAGACTGCTCAGAGTTCTTCCTTCCTTCCTTCCTTCCTTCCTTCCTTCCTTCCTTCCTTCCTTCTTGGTTTTTGTATGCCATTCCAATTACTAAAAAAGTTCCTTGCATACAAATATAACTTGTTCACTGTTGCAAGTTGATGCATAATTATTTTTTGCCACTATAGTATGTTTTCTCTATGGAAATAAATAGGGATATACAACATATATATTACACACACACACACATATAATTAGTGTTGCAGACTTTAAAAAAATTATCTTCCGAAAAGCAATATTTTAGTTTATCTTGCTTTTTTCTTTCCAGTGTGTAGTTTATATTTTGTATTTGTAACACAGAACACAAAAAATCAAAAATGTTTCCTGTTGCATCAGAAAGCACAGAGAAAATAACCTAAGAATAACCTTTATAGTCCTGCAATGGTACACTTATTCTTCCTGAAATGGAAATGACTCCAGGTGTTTAAAAAAAGATGCTGTTCCCTGATAAATTTCCCTGGCAGATAGACGCTAACTTCAAACAAAAGTGGCCATGCTTTGTTTGAGAACTTTGACGATGAGAGAATGTTGCATAAAAGTGTGAGATTTGTCGCTCTGTGACGGTGTTTCTGATTCAGCCTTGTGACCTTCAAAAAGTTTGCGCAGTTGAACTGTGTTCTTAAATATTTTCACAGTCTTAAGAATTTGTTGTCTGGCTTAATTTCTCCTCAGTGCCAGAGGTACTCAATTCTTTCTTATGACTTTGGATTTTGAGTGGGAATGAACTAGCTCAAAACACTGCAAGAGCTTAATGTATGCTCTCATCTCAGATGAATAGTTAAGTGTCCAATATTGTATAAGAAGACTTTTTCTCATGCAACAAAGCTTTCTCATTCTGTCTTATACCATGTATCCCAAAATCTTTTCCAGAATGACCTCCATCCCTCCAGAGGGCACAGAAGGGTGGAGGGACAATCCTCTCCCCTGATGGATGCCTCTTTGTAAGAAGACACATACAATTGGGTGTTTCCCAAGAATATTTAATTGTGATGCCTTACACTGTCTCTTACAGTTTAGTAAGATCCCGTACTTGCCTCATGTAGCTTTCCTGTTAATAATAGAATTCTGATCTACACTGAAAACCATGTGGAAAACCTATGATTAATTTCCAGAGAACACTTTTAGAAAATGCATAATTCTGCTTGCCAAATGAAGTATCCCATCACATAGGGAGGGCCTGCTCGCACATAAGAGTGATAAATTTGGGGTTAATTAATTAACCAATGATTTGCTGCAGCTTGCATGACTGCCATTTTGCATATGCTGTGTCACCTGTGTATCTCCCTCCCTCCCTCCCTCCCTCCCGTGCACACACATGTAGGATCCCAGCTTCTCTGAAAAGGGAAGGGAGGGAAATATCAGCTACTTTACGGTATAAAGTCTCAGAACTTAGGGTGTTTGTGGGCTTACATTTTAAAGATGAGGTGGCAGCTGCTGTTAAACAGGACAAGTAACTTTGCCGTCACTTCAGGTATTGAATAGGCTCTCCTAATTTGGGACAAAATGTCTCCTGTGTCTCATGACAAGTAATTGTTCCTCAGGGAAGGGAAATAGCTGTTCCTACATGTTTTATTTTTTGTTTCTGTGTTTTTGATATTCAACAATATGCCTTCCCATTTTTCCTATAGCCCAATTCTACAGCAAGAGATAGAGCAATTGCTAGGCTGACAACTCACCCTCTGTTGAAAGCAAAAATTGCTCATCTTAAAGGTAAGCCAAAGTTAACCCAGCTAACTTTGCATGCATTGGAGCTTATACTGCAGGGAGGGGCCATTTATAGCTATCCAGAAGTTTAGCCCTCACCACTGGCTGATTAAAGCAGATGGGAGAGATACATAAAATCTGTTGTACGGTGGGGTTTGGGCGTTTTTTTAAATTATCACTTGTCTTCTTATATTCTGTCTTAAGCCTAAACTTTACTGAAACTCACAAATGGAGCTTTGCAATAACGCAGAGTTCTGCATTTTGCTTATCTAGAATAACTGGCGAGAGAATAGAAACATTTCAATGAAAAGCAATATATCCATTCATGTCTCAACTGGCACATAAGCCAGATAGTTGCAATGCTACTTTCTTGTCATTGTGTAGCCAGATACTATTGTGCAAATGTATTGTTGCTCATAGCAGCAAATGGAGAGGTTTCAGAAACTTCTAATTACCACTCTGTTTCTTGAGTTGCCATATCCCTGAAATGAAATAATGATTCAGAAACTTTGGTAGAGCTGTAAATGTACCACAATAAGGAAAGATACGTATTGTTCAGGGGGGTTTTTTGGGGGGCGAGGGTGGCTATGAGAATGAAACACAGCTTGGCAGCTTAATCTTCTGCCTGCTTACTTGGGGGCAATCCCACTAGTCAGTGTCCCTAGGACTGTATAGGCAGTTTTCCCACTATCTTATCTTGTTTTTCACCAATGCTTGGAAAAAGCGTGTTCGTAACCATCCGAGCTTTGTATTTACTCTGTCAATTTGATATACAGATTATTTCAGACCTGTATGTCTAGTGTCATTGCTAATTTCTTCCAAATTCTTCCAATAGATCACCTCTACAGTCACTGTAGCAGTATTCTGGAAGACTAACTTTCTGATTAGAGAAGCAAAGGGCTGCTAGATAATAATTAATTCTTCATATTTCTTCATGGCCCTCTTTTAACATCCTGTATTAACTTTAAAAAAATTATTCACATCATGGAATGATTTTTTTACCCCAGAATAAAGTGCATTTGCAAGAAAAAATACTAAATCTGAAAAACCTTTGTTCCAGCTGAAATATTTTCTCAAGGGCTTGCAATCAACAGAGAGGGATAATCTGTATGTGTGTGTCTGCAGTTACACAGTATTGAAAACATTGGCCTAACTTGCCTCTTATGTCTGGCTTAATGTGTTTGAGCTTCATTATCTGTCTGCCTTTAATTTTAATGTAAGCCCAATAGAAAATACTTTGGATCTTTAAAAGTGACTTGCCAGCCTCTCATCTTCTGATGTTTTCTGACAATGGGCTGCTAGGACAATATAGCCCAATGCCTGCTTATTACACTCAGAACAGTTTAATCCATGGCAAATTGGTCCTGATAAGTCCATGTACAGGGGCAGAGCTGGATTTATTGAGCTTCCAGGTCCTGATGGAGCACAAGGCTTATGTGGAAAAGGGGGCAGACATGTTGTCTGAGGTGTTGAAGAGCTCATTTGGTCTAAGAAAATAAGTTTCTATGACTTTCTCCAAGGAACTATGCGACCACTGATGACAATTTGCTAAACACATTGGGTAGTTCTGTAGAGATAGCTGTGACTATCTCTAGCAAATCTCTACCTCTAGAAAAAAAAGCCTTGAATATCTCTAGGTAACTACATGGCCACTGATGACATGTCACTAAATACATTGTGTAGTTCCTTAGAGGTATTCACGGTTTTTCACTAGAGATAGAGATTTGCTAGAAATATTTGCAGCTTTTCACTATACATATAGGGTTTCTGGCAGTCCACACATTTGTAAGTATGGGTGATTCATAACACAAACATTCAAAACCCAGGGACTACCTGTAAAGGTAATTTAAGGCTATATAAAATGAGAAAAACTGCATAATTCTGCTAGGCCCATTGACTTTTCCTCTGCATAGCAATGTTCTGGTCTGTTAACTTTAAACAATCATAGCACAGCTTTTCCTCAGTAGATTTGAATTTTGTTTGCAGGAGGTTTTAGCTACTGATCTTAGCTTTAAAATGAGACCAAGATGCTATGTATTGAATCTTTCTTTTTGCCTTTTAGGGGGCCTAGTTTTAGGGGGTATAAATGTAACGTGTGTAGCTATTCCTTTGGAGATACTAGCGTATTTTTTTGCCCCCGGGTATGTTTATTTTATACCAAAACTAAAAAGTGTTAAAGGAAGGAACTGTACATCTGGAGGCATTTTCAGGCAGGCATTTTGTGGCAGTTCCCTAGAAGAGCAAGTTAGTGGGACACCTTGCATGAACTTTACAGTACAGAATATGAGCTGGGAGATTCCAGTTACTCTATGCTGTGGGATGACAGTTAAGAAACATTAAAACTGCTGGCTTCATATTAAGAGTGTAGGAGAAATACACTGCTGGTTTGAATACAAATCACATATGAAGTGCATTTCTTTTATGGCTTGGTATTGATTGCATGATACCATTGCATTAATTCTATCAGTTAGAATGGATGGGCAGCTCTAAGTCTAAGTTTTGATGGCTCAAAAGGCCAGACACAGAATCATCCATTTGTGCCAGTGGGGGGGTTTCCTGTATCGTGCAATGGGCAGATTGACAAGGTTTACACAATCAGGCAAGGAAAAGAACCCACATCAGAATCAGGTTGCTGTTTTGTGAAAATGAATGGCAGGGATGCCTTCCAAACCTTCCCAGAATCCTAGAACAAGTCACGGATTGCAGGGTGATTTAGAGACCGCTCTACCACCCACCTCGCTGGGCTCAGGCAATGCAGCAGCCTATGCTTGACCCAAGTAATTATGGAAATGAGGCAGTGTGTGACTGGTGTATGCAGGGAGGGAAAAGAAGCCATGGTAGTTTCTTCTCTTTCTCCAGTCACAGAAACCCAGCCATTATCTATTATTTAACAAAAAAAGACTCATCAATTGTATTTTACCTAATGCAATCATAGGAATATATCAGGATGTCTTACACCACTGGCCTTTCTGGTCCAGTATGGTCTACTCTGCCTGGCAATGACTCTCAAGATTTCAGGCAGGAATATTTCCAGCTGTGTTATCTTAAAGACTTTTACAGTGGAATGCCGTGGACAAACAAAGCAGCTGCTCTGCCACAAAGCTATGGGCCCTTCCTCTTAAAATGTATTATGGCTTTGCTTTATAACCTGTACATCATTATTATGCTTGTATTTTAACATTGCTGCTGTACGTAGAACAATTGAGTTTTTAAAAAAGCCTTTCCCACCCCCACCCCCCACCCCCAGCTGCTGTAAAAGCCTTTAAAGACGCCAGACATAAACCGGCTGGAACTATTTCTTCAGAAGAACATAAACCGGAAGAACAGCTTAGCAAACAACCTGAAGAGACCCGTTATTCCAACAGCAGTGAACATACCAAAACATTTAAACGAGATGAAAACCAAGACAAAATAAAGGTGAAAGAGAAGCCAGGCACTGACATGGGAAAAAAGCAAATATGTGTGAGAGAAAAGCAGAAATCGTTAGACAGTGAGGGAAACTGTTCCTCAGATAATTTTACAGCACAGGGTGCAGAGCATCATGAGTTACTTCATAAGAGTCAAGCAGAGAAGACTGTCTCTCCAGATGGAAGGAAATGTTTGGATGATCTCCTGAGCAGGACAGGAGTAGAGGCTGAAAATGATGCAAGTAAGAGTGAAGAAAGTGGAGCAGAAGAAGAGGAATCCTTTGATGACAGCACTGAAGAGAGGTTCTATAATCAGTCTTCCGATTCTGATGAAGGTGACAGTAATGATGATTTCTTCATCGGCAAAGTAAGAAGAATTAAAAAGAAAGGAGCAGCTGATACTTCATTACCTACTGAAGAGAAAGGCGAAAGGATGCTGCTAAAAAAGCCAAAGGACTCACAACCTGACACAATGCATGACACAGACACAAAAGCTACCTACCAACATGCAAAAGCAACTAAGCTAGAATCTGTATTTTGTTCGTCATTGTGTGACTCTAACAAATCCAAAACTGTGAAGAGGTAAGTTCTCCTTTAAGTTTTCTTGAGATAATTAAGTACATTGTTAGTTTACAACAGCATCTTTTGGCAGATCTTTGAACCATCACTTGAAGATAGCTTAGAGTCTAACCTAATGCCAGTAGGCCAGTATGACCATCAGGGTCTTTCTACAGATCATGGGGCAGTCAGAACTTTGGGGCACATTAGGGGTTTTTTGGTACTGTCCATGGGGTTTTCATGGCAAAGAGTGGGTTGCCATTTCCTCCTCCAGTGGATCACGTTTTGTCAGAGCTCTCTGCTATGACCTGTCTGTTTTCGGTGGCCCTGCATGGCATAGCTCATAGCTTCATTGAGCTCCTGGGAAGGAAAGCTATGGCAAATCTAGACAGCATACTAAAAGGCAGAGACATCACCCTGCCAACAAAAGTGCGTATAGTCAAGGCTATGGTTTTCCCAGTTGCAATGTATGGCTGTGAAAGCTGGACCATAAGGAAGGCTGAGCGCCAAAGGATCGAGGCCTTTGAATTGTGGTGCTGGAGGAGACTCCTGCGAGTCCCTTGGACTGCAAGGCAATCAAACCAGTCAGTCCTAGAGGACTTCAACCCTGACTGCTCTTTAGAAGGCCAGATACTGAAGATGAAACTCAAATACTTTGGCCACCTAATGAGAAGGTAGGACTCACTGGAGAAGAGCCTAATGCTGGGAACAATAGATGGCAAAAGAAGGAGGGGACGGCAGAGAATGAGGTGGCTAGATGGAGTCACTGAAGCAGTCGGCGTGAGCTTAAGTGGACTCTGAGGGATGGTGGAAGACAGGAGGGCCTGGAGGAATGTTTTCCATGGGGTCGCAATGGGTTGGACACGACTTCGCGACTAACAACAACAACAAGGGGTTTTTAGCAGCCCCTTCACTGTTGAAATGGTTTTTGGTAGCTAACAGAAGAGAGTTGTTATATACTGCTCACTCCACCCATGTCTTGGATTTCTCCCCTGTGTTCTTGTGAGAAATGGAACAGAGCAAAAAGGTACAGCATACACCCATTACCAATTAGACCAAGTATATGATCTAAGTTCCTACAGAGAAGGTGCTGAAATAGAGCCAGTGTGACATATTAAACTGTTAAACTGGGACTTAAGAGATCCAGGTTCTAGCCCCCATCTATCCATGAAACTCACCAGCCATTAACTGACTCTCTGACAAACCCACCTCAGAGTGTTGTTGTGATGGGAAAACAGAGGATTATGTAAGCTGTCCTGGGTTTCTTGCAGGAAGAAGTAGTGGGATATAAAGATGATGATGACAATAACAATAGAGAAACAAGTTATCCAAACATACCTCAGAAAAAGCTAACATTTAAGATGCTGAGTGATGGCCATCAGGCCCAAAGGCCTAACTGAATGTAGGCCAGGTGATGGAGCAGAAACTGCTTTGAACTGAACAGGAGTGACTGCAGTGCTATATGTATAAGGCAGTCACACAGTCAAATTTGACTGAAAAGAGGAAATTTCTCTAAAATGGGACGCAAACTTTGTATTTTATATTTCTATAAAAGAAAAGTTGTCTTATATGAAGAACTGCTATTAGATGCACTGTTGAGTCAGTGTTCATATTCAGCTATAGTTGTATCACTATGAGTTGTGGCACTTACAGGTTTAAAAAAAAATGCAGTCTGACTATGCAAATCTGGGAGAAATGGTCTCACATTCAAGATAAGGCCATCTTAGCTATATAATCACAATTATAGAAATCAATCTGGGATCTGTTTATATTGTTAGGTTCATCTTATGGTCACAAAGTTACCAAATGCTGGTGGTTGTAAACAAAGCAATGTCATGGGTTAAAAGTGAAACATGGTGGCATCGTTTATTTTACATGCTTGATAGTATGCATTTTCTGTCCCATTTCCCATTAACCTTTTCTTTCTGTGCTATAGAACCATTAGAGACCATCCTCCCAGAGACAAAGCAACAGGTAAATCAGTTTAATTTTGCTGCTTGGATGTATACAGTGTAAAAATTAAAACTTATGTTTTGTTTTAACAATGTAATAATAGCTGTTTAGTTGTGTTTAGTTGATCTTGACTGGGTTAAATCCAATGTCATGCAAGTAGACTTCCCTTAACTGTCCTTTAACTTCCCACTCCAACAACATCCAGAGGGCCCTCCTACTCCCAAAAATAGATGGGGGCAATATAGGAATAGTGGAATTTTTTTCCACTAGTGGCCTGGGCTCCATTAGTGGATGGCTAGCATTAGATGCAACCTGTTGCTCCTTTTCATGAACTTTGTGGAGGTTATTTGCATTTTTACTTTCAAACATACAGTGTAAAAAGCTGCATTATTTTACTATCCCTTCTCCATATTAAGTGATTTCTGTCATTTTAGTAAAGTTGCTTTTAGAATAATATGCTATTCTTATTATATATAATTTATAAAAGGCCTCACTACAGGGACAAGATGTCTTATTTTGGTTAGATTAATAGAAAATCCATGATGTATCTATGCAAAAGTAAGCTCAGTTTGTTCAGTAAGACTTACTCGATGGTTCATGCATAGAAATTACAGCCTCACCAGAATTATCTCCCTTCCTTCCCATGCCTAGTAATGTGGCCTTTTCAGAAAAGTTTTAATTGGGACATTTTCTGAGAAATTTCCTAGGAAAATTAGGGCAATATGCAAAAATCAGTTTGCATTGGAAAATTTTATGATGCCCTAGAGATCAAATGTAGCATGTTTTATTTATATTTAGGGGGGAAATAAGAAAACACTTTTGTTTCAACACACCACAGATATTTTGCCTGAAATATATGAGGGGGAAATAAGGCACACTTAACCTTCACCTCATGTCACCCCCCCCCCCCAGCATAGCCCAGACAGGATTGCCCCAGGCAAGGAAGATGCCACATGTAAGTCCTTCTTCTGGCTGAACTCACCAAGGCGGTTTCAATCAACACAAAAATAGCTTTCAGCAAATGCGGGTACTTTAAGGTGTAATCCTTTCTGAGGCTATCCACAACAATATAATCTATGTAACATTGATGGGCCTATTTACCCTTCCTCTGCATAACACAGTTTAGCCTTTAAAAAAATCATGGCACAATTTTTCCATCAATTCATTTTTTATTTTGTTTTGCTGGAGGTTTTAGAATGACATTTAACAATCTTCGAAATGAGATCCAGATCTGTATTTAACCATTTTGTTCTCATGTTGGAGTCTATTGTTCAGGGTATAAAAGTACCCCATGGAACTGTTCTGAAGGTTGGTGGTGGGGGCAGTCTTTTAGCCTCCAGGAATATTTTGTTTTATACAAAAAGAGAACAAAAAGGAGGAAGCTGAAATTTGGAGAGTTTTTAGACTAATTAGTTTGTGTGCTAATTACAGTGCACAATGTGAGTTACCCCAGGATACTTATTGTGGTTAAGATGTTATATAGAAATTGTACTGGACTACTTTTAAAAAGCAATGAAACTGAATAGCATATACTTCCCTTATATTGCTTAAATTTATGGGGAGAAATATTAACTGTTGGTAGACATGCTAATACAATTGAGCAAACTAAAGAACTGCATATGCTGTCAGCCACTTATCTGTCTGAACTTTAAAACTTGCAGGAACATTAAAAACAAGCACAATATGTCACTCTTGCAGATTAACTGCTTGTTGATTTTATATAACCCAAACTGTAACTTACATATCAGTGAATTTTCACATATTTGCTCCGAGTAGTCATCTGAAAAACATTAAATGCTACTTAAAAACTGCAGAGTTCACCCAACCTCATAATTGCTATTGGCACCATTCATTGTTACTAATAAACTTGTGTAATGGAAAGTTTGTGCAGAATATAATAATGAAAAATTTGGTCTCATGTATGGATTATGAAGTTAAGCATTCTTGAAAATGGAACTCTGATAGTTCAAGATGGAACTAGTTTGTATACAATCTTCATCTACCCTATTTTTCAGTTTGCTTTGTTCCCCAAATTTGCATGAAATTCAGTTTTTCCATCTATGGTTAATTGTACTGCTTGGAAGATCATTTGCATGAAAAAGTGTAAAATTCTTGACACTGTTAAACATCTAGGTGGAGGTTCTACATGATATATATAAGAATTAATCCATCAAAGCAGATTTTGCATGTCTTTGGCAACCCCTTAGAGCCTTTAAGGTGCACCAGTGCATCACCAGATATCTTTCTTGGCACCCCATAAGATGTTTTGCTGGGGGGGGGGGTAACCTTTTCTTACCAGAAGCTGGAATAGCTTTGCAATAGCCTGTCGCTACTAAAAACTTGGTTTCAAAGGCACTGTTTGGAGGTAGGGAGCTCATGACCCATCTGTACATCCTTATCAGTCTTTTAGGTAGGTTGCTTGTCCTTTGCCATGACAGTTATTTTCACCCTTTTGTCAAATTGCCCTGTGTGCCATTGCCCAGAAAAGTTGCCTATGCTTGCTTTAAAGCAATATAACTATATGACCTCTTAATTGCTAAAATTTCTTGGTTATTTTTTACACAGCTTTGAGGAAAAATCATCCACAAAAACAAATTCCTTCTGGCTCAGATATGAAGCATGCCTTTGGAAGGAAACCATTGGAACAATCCCTTCATCCTTCATGGGAAGCAAGCAGGAAACGTCGAGAACAAGTATCTCAAATTACAGCATTCCAAGGGAAAAAAATAAAATTTGAAGACTAGTTTTTTTTATTAGGACCACCTCTCCTTTTTTTACTTTATCCATCTGGCATGCTTGTGTTTACAACTGAAGTTTTTTATATATGCAAAGTAGTATAAGCTAAAAACTTGAAGACAAGCAGCATTTTCATTTAGTAGATTTCCAGTGTGTAAAATAAATGTAATTTTTAAGTCATTAATTGACAGAGGGATTTTTATTTAGAAAAACTCATCTCAACATGTGCCACATTTGTCAAGAATGCTTCCAGCTGATGTATTTTCAGTGTCTTCATGGGAACTGGCATAAAAGATCATGGATTTGATGTTGAACTGCCAACAGATATGGAAATCTTACACATATCCAAGGGAACGTTTTGAATCTCCCTTGGTTACCATTCTGCAATAGATAGATTTTCAAAAGGAGAAACCAGAATGCAATAACTGTTAAAACTTAATGAAGTTTTATTCTGTTAGTTTTTGACTAGGCTAGAGATGATCTTGTCAATGGTAACTTGAAAAATTTATTTTGTATGATTTGAGCTTTAAATTAAATTAAAAACAGGTCATAATGAATTGGCATAATTTGAATGTGCTTGTTGTATTATAAGTAATCCAATTGTTTTCCAGTGTTATTGTAAGCTAGCCATTTTAATAACCACTTTAGCCCTCTGTTGGTATGAGCACAGAAAATTGTCAAACTCAACATGGAAAAGCATCATTTATTTTGTCTACTTGCCATTTCTCAATCAGCATAGATGGCACCCTAAGTTTATTACAATCCTCCAGTGTGTTAAAAAGTTATGCATGCCTAAAAAATCTAGCATGCTTAATATAAAGAAAATTATTTTGCAGACTTTAGTTAAAAATTCTGAAAACTGAAAAACATCTTTTTAAGTGTTTATGAATGGTAAAGATTACTTAGTTTTTCTTGGCAACTGACCCTAACAGTTTAAAGACACTTAAATTACCTAGATTTACAGCAAAACGTGATAAAAAATTTACCCATAATATTACAGGCAAGAAGAGTTAATGAATGCAATTTCATGTCCCCTATTTTATTCATTCATACAGAACAGTGCTTTTCAACTGATAGTACTTATGCTGACATACTGGGAAGTACCACTACTTGGAAAAAAAAACTATGAAAGTAAATTTTTTAAGATTTTCAGATTTTTTTTTAAACTATTTTCAATTCTGTTTAGTGGCACTACTGCAACATGTTAAATTGAAAAAGAGGTTCCATGTTGTCAGGTATTGGCTGAACACAGAAACTGTAACTTGGTTTACTATTTTAGTTGTAGAAGTAGGGACAGTCTGAACCTGAAAGTATATTTGATTTTCCAAAGTGAGAAATGTGCCAACAAAGTGATCTATTACAGAACTGCTATCTCTGCTGACCTGTAGAGACTTAAGTGACCTGGCCCAGGTCATTAACATCACAAGTCTTGCAGTCATATATACTTCATGAATTGATCATATTTTCATAATGTACAGCCAGTGACATTTTAATCTGGTTACCCTTCTTTGGAGCACGTCAAGACTGTGATGGTTAAGGAATATAGGAAACACTGGCCCTGTATATTAGCACTGACTTACAATTACTCTTCCAAACAAGCGCATTTCAGAGCTTTACCAGCCTTACCTGGAGTTGCAGGGAATGACCGTGATCTTCTGCATGCAAAGCTTATGTCCCACAGAGTTACTGCCCTACAGACAGCACTGTGCCAAAATGGATGATACCAAGGTACAGATGCCTACATTACTGGACTCAGGCTGGAGCTGGAAAGTTGGTGTGCCTTTCACTCTGCGTGTTTGCTAGGTTTGCCTGTCCTCAAGCTGACCCAAACTATCACCCATAAATATCAGTCAGAACCACTATGTCTGATGTTAGCTATGATAACAATTCATTATACTGTGGCCATGTTATAATGTTCCTTTCTAAGCACAAATGATGGTAATTGAGTTAGGTTGAGTTCAGACTACTAATCCCACTTCAGTTTTAGGTCAAATCAGTTTTCTTATTTGGCTGAGTTTGTAAACTTCAAGCTCTCTGGTTCAAGTTCTGATTTGATCAGTATCTACAGAGGGATTCATTTTTCTCGCATCATATAAATTTTCCAGTTGCTTGAATTATATAAAGCTAATCTAGTAAATGATGCAACACAGTGCGGTATCGAGTTTAACACTTTTAAGTTGTGTGTGAATATTTTGTCACTGCTAGGTTAGAATGTGCTGCATGCTCTATTGTTTCCCTGTATAAATACAAAATTTACTTCTCCATTTCCAGGTATTATGACCAGTACTCCATTCATTAAGCTCCCTGGCTTAGCTTCCCATCTTCACAGTGAGACCACTTGAGCTGATGAGCCTATTGCTTCTGAATAACTTGACTGATATTTTACACAGCCTTATATTTAAATTGGCATTAGATTTAAATAATACCATCTTCCTCAGAGAAGAACCAAATAATATACCTTTTAACCTATAAAAAAAAGATGTAGGTTACATTTTTGTGGAAGCTGGAGAGATCTGAAACATTTTTATTCAGGTCATTTTCACATAAATTTGCAACCAGGATACAAGAATGTAACACAAGAATATGGAAGTTCAGTGAAGAATACAAAACTAGTGTATGAATATTCATAAATAACTTTTCAGAGAAAGATGCATAGATTTTAAAAGTAAGGCTCTTAGAAAAATTGAAGTAAATGTTAAAAAAATTCCTTGAAGAAGAGTGGCTTTTCATTAAGTTTGTAACATTTGGTTGCTTATAAATTTCCTGACAGCAAACTTTCAATTCAAGTTAAATATGTAAGCACCTTTGTAACATCTGGAATGTGAAAAACAATTTTGCTGTACTGAAAGGCACAGGGTAGAGCACTTTCCATTAAAAGGAGTGCACACTTCAGTTATTTCCAACAAAATGATAGGAATGTACAAAAAGGCTGACTAGAAAAAGTCATTATTGGTTTACCATTAGAAATCCCTTAGATATAATCATGGATCACAAAATGTTTAGACTAGCAGAGCTTTGAGTGCTGTGAGCCAAATGGATGGGACAGCCAAAGAGTGAAGAAAATGCATCTATCACCTTCCACTATGTCAGATAATTCATCTAACTAAAAGGCAAAAAGATGTGGCTCACTAATTCTTCATATGCTTCAGAGGCCACAAGAAACTCTCCAACATTCTTCATAAATTAGTTTGTTTATTTATTTTGGTTAGGCTAATCTTAGAAACTTAGATCTTCGCTAAGACCTGACTTCACAAGTGCCAAATAGTCATGTTTGCTACAGAAGTAACAGCATATATTTTTCCCATAATTTTGTAATGAGATACGGGGTAGTGATCCTGTATAGCAAAGTTACTTAGAATATCAGGTAGCCCAGCCCTACCCATTCAAGCTGCCACCATGGAGCCATCAGTTTTCCTGAGCCCTGCTCCCCTCCATAGTCACCAGCACCGCAATTCCAGTATCAGTTTTGGCTGCTGCTATTTACACACTTTTTTATATTAGCAAGCGTACTAAGTTGTAGGCAACTGTAGTTGTTGACCTAAGAAAGGGAGCAACATTTGTTAGTGGTCAGGTTTAGAAGTAAGGTGGTCAGGACTGGTGGTTTCAAATCCACCAGAACCATGCAAGTGAAGAGGCGGCACTGGCAAGCAGAAAAGGAAGAAACAAATCTTGTCAGGGTTCATAAAATCTGGCAGGGACGTTGTTGCCCCAGATACAAGGTCAAGCATTTGATCTAAATTTTATAAAACAGTAATACTGGTAAGATGAAATCCAGTGGTGTCTTTCCACTGACAGAATGGATTTCATCCGTTAGCTTAAGGAAAATGAGTCATCCAGCTCATTTAAACAAAATGCATGTTGTTTGGAGTCCAAACTATCAATTGTCTCCAGAAAAGAATTACTGAAACTATCATATTCTCCAAGCTTTGTATTTCACTTTTCACATATTGTGATATAAGCAATGCAGTTTAAATGCAGCTGTTTTGACATCAAACACTTAAACATCAATTGGAACATTCATGTGGGGCAGAAATTATCTCAATTTTCAGGTCAGGGGGAAAACTATTGGACTGTCAAAATGTGTTTCAGCCAAAAGAGGAATAATTAGACCTATAATACCCATTAGAGTTGCAATTTGTTTAACTTCTGAATGTTAGACATCTGGCCCCTGCATTGCTACTGTAATCTACAACTTGTCTTGCTTATGTCAAGAATTCTCATTGTATATATTATTTGATACAGCATGTTTAGATACTTTCATTTTTTAAAATGCATTCTTTCTGAGTAGCTTGACAGGTTAAAAGTGCAAAACTTCATAGTTTTCTGAGAAACAAATTGGCCCACTTCTGACAAACCAGCTATTGTTTCATAAGGTCAACAGAGTACAGTGCTGCTAATCTCTTTTTTATCACTTTTATCACTTTATCACTCTTTTTTATCACTTTAATTTTTAAAATTAGCTATATATCAGGAACTGTTTTAATCTAGATTAACCAAGTTCTGATTCTGGGAGTCAGTGTCTACGTATCTGTAAAGCAGAATCTTTCCAGCAACAGAAAATGAAAATGTGCAATCTGCAGTGAACTGCACTGGATATGGGCAGCTTCAGTGTTTCACATCTGAGAAGTTGTTTGGTAAAAATGCAGCTTAATGTAAATCCCTGTCCAGTATAAAAATTAGGTTGTAGGTGTTAGTGGGTATAGCTGTAGGCTAAGCATTCAACACTATTTAAAAAGATGCGTATGTTTTATTAAGCTAGGGTTTTGTACTGATAGAAACTTAAGTTTCCCTAGCTGATCCAGAGTTTAATCATGGCCACTGATCTTTTATCCTGTTCTCAACTGTCAATATTAAATAGCTGCAATCAAAACAATTGTGAAATCAATTCCATAATTCCAGAGGACTTCCAACACTTGCAATATAGCAAAAACAAAACAAAAAAAACCTTCACAAAACAAGAAAGGAATGTCAGAAACATCTTTTGTGATAATGGGGGACAGGGCACCATTTTTTAAATAATAATGTAGTCAAACCTCTATTTTTGCAGGTCCAAGATTTGATTATTAATGAGTTTCAGTGCGCTGAAGAGCTGCAGATTACGCACTCTGGAGACACCACACTCAGTCTCGGTACTAGCCAGCCTCACTCACATGACTCTAGAGATATATTCATTTCTTTCCCTAGAGATGTTTGCAGTTTTTCCATTTTCGCAGGGGTCCTGCATCCCTAACCCCCATGAATGTGGAGGGCTGACTATATAGGATCCCACTGGGCATACATGAACCATCAGATGAAACATCAAGTTGCTCTTTGGATTTCAGCCTATATGAATACCTTTTAAATTATTTAAGCTCATTCACAGATAGTGTACTGACTGACAGTAGTCAAGGGGAAGACATTTCTGTGAACGGGTTAACTTTCTGTACAATTTGAAATTTTGAGTATAAAGCACCAAATTCTTACTGTTCTCAAAAAGATGACTGCATGAATTGATCAAGATAATTAATTCTGAAGAAGGTCTTAATACTTCAGAGTCACATTAAAATTCTTTGCATATATATTTTCAAAAGTTTTTACATCCTATCTCAGTTTATAAAATAATTGCATCTCAAAACCTCAGGTACCGATGAATAAATTTTCTTTCATCTTAATATCTGTTAAGGAGAAAAGAAATAGTAGTTTAGTATAGCATATATTAAAACCAAAATGCAAAATATAATATTAGAAATACTTGTTAGATCTTAAAATTTAAGCAACACTCTTAGCAATTCAATTTACTTCTGCTTAAACTGTTCTTATCCGAAAGGAGATGGAATAAAAGGAAACTCTCTCTACGCTTAAGCCAATCACATCTGATCTTTGGAAGATTTTACTTTTTTATGCCCAATTCTTCAAGAAAATGAGCTGTTCCCAGAACGTTGTTTTAAAATACGTTCTTAGCACAATGAGAAGCTGTGACAAATTCTTCTTGCACCTTTGCTAGCATCACTGCTGACTTCTAAGAATCCTACTGTTCTAATTCTTTTGCTCCCACAAATGCACAGGGCTAAGAAGAACACACAAAAGTCTGGAGGAAAGCAACTTAGTTTGTTGATTCTGCAAACCAACTGTAACTTTGGGCTGGTGGTGACAAAAATATATACAATGGGTTGTTATAATGAATAATCTTAGTAGCAGTATTGTGGTGGTATTTATAAATCACCTAATATTACACTCCTGAGTACAATAAAAGGAATAAACATGGAAATTGGGCAATAATGGAATAAGGCAAATGTTTCATTACTGTAAATAGGTCCAAGCTAATCAGTGAAGGCTTGATCGGCATCTTGGTGCAAAATGCCAAACTTCCATCATGTATGTGAGGCAACGTACACATTTTCCTTCTTCCCTTGAATTACCTTCACATGGCAAAACAAATGAGCAATATACAGAAAAACTACAGTGACTCCCATGATTGCTCAAAAAAGTACAAATCTGGAAATTGCTGGCAAAGATCAGCCTAATTTGAAATTCTGTCTCATGTGATTGCAGGTCTATAGAAGCAGTCAGCCAAACTGAATAAGCAAGTCAAAAAAGATTTGGTACAGAAATGTGGAGTTCACATGGATTTGTTTGGGGTTCACTAGCAATCTACTCCATGTTTTGTGTTTGGAAAGGATAAGCAGCATCCTGAGTTTGCAAGTGTAGGCCAGGAAAAACAACTAAAGCTCACTATTTCCATATGGAGCAAGGATGTACAAATCCCTTTAAATCTCCAAATCAAGATCTCTAAAAGAAAAATATTTGGGCTAGAATACAATCTGAGTGTATTGCATTGACAAGCAATTCAACACTTGCATTACTGTAGGTTCATTCCGGGCCGCCCAATTACATAGATTTTGCAATTTTGCCTAAGCATACTACTTAACTATGAAGTAATTCTATCCCGAAAGCCAAGCAACTGTGAAACCAAGAGACATGGACAGACATTGGCCCAATTCTGGATTAAACCACATTATGTTTTTACATCACCTTTACAAGCACTGTACTTGTGTATTCCCTAATTCCTTCCTCTACTGCATCATGAATTCAGGAGCTGCTATTTTTAAACTATCCAGAGGTCCCCATTATCATAGAATCACAGAATCTCAGAATCATGGAATAGTAGAGTTGGAAAGGGCCATGAAGGCCATCAAGTCCAACCTCCTGCTGTTGCAGGACACCAATTTATACCATCCTACTCAGGGTTTTTTGTTTTTTTTAATATCTCTAGTGTGGGAGAGCCCATGACCTTTCTAGGCAGCTGGTTCCACTGTCATATTGCTCTGACAGTGAGGGAACTTTTCCTGATATCTAGCCTGAAGCTGGGTTGTCATTGTCACAACTTGACTATTCTGTGTCCTACACTCTGGTATCACCGCGGAGAGATCTTGACCTCCTTCTTTGTGACAGCCTGTGAGATACTTATGGAGGGATATCATGTCCCCCATCAGCTTTCTCTTGTCAAGGCTGAACATGCCCAGTTCTCTCAGTCTCTCCTCAAAGGGCAGTGTTTCAAACCTTGGATCATTTTTGTTGCCCTCCTCTGGACCCTAATTTTTCTACATCTTTCTTAAATCCTAGAGTCCAGAACTAGACACAATATTCCAGATGACTAGTGAGGAGTATAAGGGAACTACTACTTCTTCAGATTTTTAAGTAATACTTCTATCAATACATCCCAAAATAGCATTTGCCCTTTTTGCAGCTGCATCATTGTTGGCTCATATGTAGCCTGTTGTCCAGAGCAACTCCAAGGTCTTTTTCAGTTCTGTTGAGCCATGTATTCCCCATCTTGTATTGATGCATTTGGTTTCTTTTTCCTAGGTAGAGAACTTGGTACTTGTCCCTATTAGGTTCAATCCAATTTGAACCTAAACTCTAATTCAACTATGGTTCATTACAACAAGCCAGGATCATAATCCATCTTTTGATCCTGGCTGGTTTGTTCAGAGTTACCGCAAATTCATAATGGAAATCCTAGGTGATAGCAGACCAGATGCTTCCAACCTCACAGATACAGCAGAGAAGGAAAGAGGTACACAAGCCTGCATTATCTCTGAAAATTTTGTAGAATGATTCTTTTCAAATGTATCATTATATTACATGCCTGTCATTACAACACACTCCTTTTTCATAAGCACCATAAAAGATATTACTTGTACTATGAAATACCAGGGGAGAACAGTGTAGTACTTACGGTGAAATTGTGCAGCCAGAGGCATACGCATGATGACCTGTATAGCGGATATCACAACGTACAATGTTGTTGGAATAGTCTGATTCTGGTACCAAGTAGCTAGGGTTTACACTAACCTGCAAAAGAAATACATACTGTATTTTGCACTTTCATATAATATTTTGTATAATTCTTGATTAGTAAAATGCATTACCTTTAAAATGTAATTTCCAGGTTTTACATCTGTAATATCAATCCATTGGCAGTCTATGTCAGCATTGTATGTGTCGTAACAGCCAGGGCTCAGTCCCTAGAATTGTAGTGTACATAAATATGAGAGTTTTACTGATCTTTAAAAATCAAAGTACTAGTGACCAATGCCACAAATATGATGAAATGATTACAATTTGTCAGCATTCCATAATGTAACACCAAAGCCTTAATATTTGTTTAAACAGTATTCTGTAATTTGACAATCTAACAAGTTAACTTCCTTATAACCCTTCTGAGTTTAAGATGTCTGGCACTTCCCCTTGTGCCAGGCAGCACAAATGCTCGCTGTAATGCTGCAGACCCTATCCCTATGCTTCACCACACTGTTCCAGATGGTCCCCTCATCCTGATAAACAGCTTTCAGAAGCAGAAGGCACTGTGGTGTGGTTGGAATGGGGGGAGCCAGAAAAGCCCTATCCTATGTGCAGTGTTCTTTTTGTTTCTAGATTCAGCCCTGTGCAAATTTTGTTTTTTAATCCAAAATATACAGAAGCCATATTAGCCACTCTCTTCTTTAAAAATTAACTGATATTATAATAAAAACAGTACCACCATTTTTCCTACCAAGATGATTAGTCCCTTTCTTCTGTATGAAGGTCAGGGCCAGAAATGTCTAAATTCTGGCATAATTGTTTTTCACATTTAACTATCCAAGGTTCTAATCTTTATCTCTTTCCTCTCTTGAATCCAGTTTCATTGCAGTAATTTAGAAAACAATTCCAGGCAAGTTTAGATAAGTGCAGGGAAATGCTGGGAGTTGTAGGACTTTTCCCCCCTAAATATGCATAGGATTGCACCCTCAGTAAAACAGATGATTTTGCAGGGCTCTGTGCACTTTCCCACTGCTATTTTGCTGGACTGGATTAAAATAAGGTTTAACTTGGGAAATACATTACTGTCCTGAAATGACATTTAAGCCATGAACACAGAATCCTACGTGAGGCCCAGTTGCTTTCTCTACCCTCAAATTAGTCTGACTGGTGTCTGACTGCCCCTATGAAAAGCACAATGTTTGGCCACATATTGTGTGTCACTTGGCAATAGTTAAGTGCTTGCTACGGAGAGGAAGGTCACTGACTGCTGGCAGCTGCATGCTAAACAAAAAAACCCAAAAAATCTGGAATCAAGATGTAGTCTTCAGCTGCTGAGGAAAATACTTCATAGCAGGCACAGGTCTTGAAATAACAGAAGAAGCCACAAGAATTCTAAAAAGAATTAAAGTAGCATCAGCCATTTTAAAACTTGATAGATTTGACTATTCTACTTACAGAATTGGGCTATACTAGAGGCGCTCATTTTGTAGGAGGTTCTTAAAAATTAACCCCAGTTGCCTACATATTTGCCATCTGCATAATCTCCAGCAACCAATATATAGATAGCCATGGACTAGTTCATGCAACGTACTACCTCCTGCAATGCACTTCCACCAGATCTGAAGGCCTATTGAATTAAACCTTAATGCAGAAAACTTTTAAGTTGGGGTAGACTGATCCAAAACACACTAATGCCTACATTTAATGAAAGAGCTGGAAGAAAACTATAACTAGCTTTAAAATTTACATATTGAGATGAATGGTACTATAATACAAGAGACCTCTACCAACACCTTGCTACATGTGTTTTAAATGTGGTTATTTCTGTGATCTAGCTAATGCTGATGCATAGTGCAACTGAGATCCATGCAGAATACCACACAGCTTACACTAAAAGGAACATTAAGGATAGAAGCTTTTCTGATTCTTCCTGCCCTCTGCAGTTCCCAGAGTTGCTGAAAAGCTGCTCTGAGAACGCTCTGGAGCAGCAGAAGTGACATGGGACTGGAGGTGGGATGGGCAATTAGTGATTGCCTTCACCCATTATTCTTCCAGCAGAGAGCCTCTGGTGGATTTTGTGCCATCTGTGAATGGAAGAACCCCTTCCCTTCACAGATGGTCAACTGTAAAGTCTCATCGAGAACATTTCATGCAAGTTATTCCAAAACAGCATCAATTTAATTTAATTGTCATTTATATTATTTGAGATAATGGAATAACACATTCCTACATTTCACAAATTTTCAGCAACAATAAACAAATTAGAAGCATACTGTTTACCTATCATAAATATATATGAAAGGAAAGGGATTACTTCTATCTATATTATGTTTCCTACTGAATATAACATTCTCAAACAAATCCTTTATCTTGTTACCTGTGATGTGTCTCTCAACTGAGCCCTAATCTGTGGTTTGTTTGTGTTATTTCAATAAGTACATATATTTTGATTTAACAAGAGAAATGCCAGTACCATTGGGCATTTATTGGTAGAGTATTGTGAATTTACAGAGAAGCATGTCTGCAAGAATCAGAGAAATAATATTTTCATGAGACGTCACTACAAGATCCAGGAAGACAGAAGCACCTGTTCCAGGTTGACTTCATAATAAAACAGCAAAATAAATTAGAAAAATACTGAAAAATCAAGGCTGTTATTTGATGTGCCCACTGTAGGCATTTCCTAAGAGTTCTGAACTATCTCTGGCTGCTACTTTCTGGAGCAAGTCTCTGCACAGAGCTCTAAAAATGCAATAAACCTGCAACTGGAGATCTATATATGTGGTAATGATAATTTTAACTAATAATTTTTAAATTTTGCTATTGTTGTTTGCTCCTTAAGTGATTTTTCTGTGAAAAGGCAGGATACAAATTAAACAAATAAATGAATTACAGTGTGTCTATGGCAAGTATGATAAGGTATAAAAACTCCTTAAAATTCCTGGCAAAATGATAATAGTCTAGAGAATAAACACTTTTCTGATAATTTTCAGAATTGACACTGAAATGAATCTTGACTACAGAATAAAGTGCTCATCCACTTGTAATGGATACCTTTGAATTTATACAGCCTGAAAATGTGAACAAGCTCCTTGAGGAAGTGAAAATTTTATGTGCTGGACTCTTGCCCTTCCTGGCTTATAGAAGAGGTCAAAGGAGCCTGGCCAAGTGGATAAGGGTAATGGCCAATGCCTCTTTATGTGAAGGTGTGATTCCATCTTATTAAAGGCATAGTGGTGAACTCCCTGGCTATCTGCTGCATTGTCATATTGCTGTCTGGAAGGTTATCCTGATATTCAGCCAGAATCTCTCTTCCTGGAAATTAAGCCTATTATTCCATGTCCTGCAATCTGGGATGATCAAGAAGAAATCCTGGCCTTCCTCTCCATGACAATTTTTTAAGTACTTGAAAAGTGCTATCACATTTCCTCTCAGTCTCCTCAAGGCCAAACATGCCCAGTTCTTCCAGTTTCTCCTCATCGGGCTTTGTTTCAATTCCCCATATCATTCTTGTTGTGTTCCTCTGATCCTTTTCTAATTTGCCTGAATATTTCTTAGATTGGTGCCCCAAAATGGACAAAGTATTCAAGATAAGGCCTAACCGGTGCTAAGTAGAAGGGAACTAGTACTTCACATGATTTGGAAGTGATGTTTCTATTACAACAGGCCAAACCAGTATTTGCCTTTCTTGCAGCCACATCACATTCTTGATGCATATTCAGCTCGCAACCTACAACCTATAATTTCAAAAGCCTTCTCATTGGTCGTATTGTATGCACCTCCTCATCCAAATCATTAATAAAAAATGTTGAAGTGCACTGGGCCCAGGATTAAACACTGCAGTACCCTACTTGTTACCTTTCCCCAATTTGAGTAGGTGCCACTGATAAGTCCTTTTTTACTCTGATTTTGTAGCCAGCTGTGGATCCACCTGACAGCTGTTGCATCTAGCCTACTTTTAGCTAGTTTGCTCATCAGGATATCTTGGTGCACACTGTCAAAAGCTTTGTACAATTCCTGCACTGCATTCATACTTCATGGTCTGTTAAAACTGAGTGAAATCAGTCTATATTATGACAGTAAAGAGGAAAGTTTATTAATAACTTTTATCTTACCTGTGTGTGTGCTGTACATGCGTATCTCCTATAGTATCCATAATCGCAAGAAGTATCTTCAAGGCAAAAACTTGCTTTGTGTCCTTCAGCCACTCTCCTATGGGAACTTGCTTCAAGCAAGTCATAATGGCTGAATTCATCCATACTGTGGTAATGTCTGTTAAAGCACAGGCAAAATAGTAGACAGGTTACAAGATAAACCACGAATCATCATCACCATTGTGACTCAATCAAATGACTACCAGGAGTAGCAAAATTTAACATGATTTGGAATTCTGCATTAGTCAGAACTAACTGGTTAATACTTTAGGGTTCAGTGACAGCATTCTCTACATATAGTTCCACTATTCAACAATTATATAAAATGTTGCCTATGTTCATTTTGTTTAAAAGCAAAGCAATGTATGAACTTCTCTATTTCAAAATTTTCAGCTGCAATAAGAGTATGAAACACCTAAGTGACTTTGTATGAGTAGAGCACTTCCAACTGTTACCCCCATTATTTATCAGACTAAAAATGCTTACCTTGCACACAGTAAATTTTAAGGGCCCTTTTATTTCTGTAATGCTTGCTTTTATCAATAATCACAATTCATGCAAAGCAATTTGAAATTTATTTTAAGCTCTGTTATGTTATATTTTTATAAATATATATTCTGGGAAAATGTATTTTATACAGGTTGGTTAGTTATGCTTATGATTTTTCCTTTGGCATACTCTGAAAGGCCGTTGTTCTATTGCTACATCATTCTTCTCATAACAAAGTAGCAAAACAAACAAACTCTTCAGCCAACTACATCTCATTTTCTTTCAATTGTTGCTCTTATATGATGTTACTTTTGACAAGGAACCGGAAATAGCTTGCATAGTACTCCTTTTCCTCTGTGTTATCCTCACAACAGCCCTGTGAGGTAAGTTAGGCTGAGAATCAGTAAGTGGCCCAAAGCGAATGAGTGAGGAATAGAACCCACACCTTCTGAGTTCCAGTCCAACATTCTAACTACATTTTCTCTCCAATATTCTTCTATTTATCTCAGTATATACAAAAAGATGGAACTAAGCAGCAATTCAACACAAATCTCCCTTTGTAATGTAAAACATAAAAGGTTAGATTTGCCAAGCATGCCCAGCCAGATGAGGACCAAATGCTAGCTGCTGGTGTTCAGTGGTGCTCACATAATCAAATCCATCATCCTGTTAATATATGTCTTTGAAATCTGTTCAGATCCATGCAGGCCCCTATTTCGCTGAAGGAGTTTAAATCCAGGACACAGCTAGGGCTGGGTCCTGAGGTCAAAGTCCAGGGCTCCACGTCCTGGGGAGGGGCCCAGAGAATGACAGGTGATGTGAACAGCTGAAAAGAAAACTGCTGAGGCTTAATTTCTTTATCAGGGTTAGCAAACATGCAATGTATCAGAAACAGCTGTGAAGCATGGAATAGGATGGGAGAAATGTTAATTGTGTGTTTCACAAAGTAATGTGCATGTCCATCTAAAGGGAAGGACCACAACACTATTAAGTCCAAGGTCTAAAACTATCCAGCAGCTCCACTGATGTAGATCCACCAAACTGATACCTATATGATATTAAGAGGGCTGATTTCATCCACTACCAAGTTCATTAGTTACTGAGTATATGTGCCATTCGGAATTACCTAATGCTGCTGCTGCACTAGCAGAAATGTTCATTATTGCAACAGGAAACTAGCCCAGGCTGCCACTTCATAGGACTTATCAGTGGAACTCATAGAATGAGCTCTGCTGACTTTTTCCATACTGGAAGTGGTAGTTTTAACTAATTTCCTGGGTTGCAATAGCAGTTGTTCTCACTATCACAAAATGTATGGTAGGCAGGTCATGAGCAGAGCCAGTTGGAGCCAGGAGTCAGACTAGATGGCCCGGGAGGCCCCTTTTGACTCACTCTGCTTCTATGTTTCTACGTATGGAGCTGGTAGATTGCCCACCTTGGATACTTTCTTTTATGTCCAAGATATAGCATTATATATAAATATGCTGAAGTAAGCAAAATGCTTTGTTCTACTGTGTCTGCAATGGTAGCCAGATTTTTTTTCTATTTGTAAGGAAGAACAAGTTTGTGCTGAGTGAGAAAGTCTTCCAGATTTGTGGTGCTACTTTCCACATAGTAGTAAGGTAGGGGCAGATGGAAGGTGGGACCACATCACAACAAACAGACAGCAAATTAACATAACTGAAAAGTACCATACTGAGCACTTCACTCACTGATGACAGCTGTGCCACTCCCATGAGTATCGTGGACGGCTTGGTAAGAAATCTGATGTGCCTTGATTTTTCACTCTCTGAGGGAATCTCAGAAGCACTCTGTTATCATAGTCTCTGACATCTCCTCTGTAAGCTGAGCTGCAGTGATGTAAAAATGTGTATGAAAAATAGGCTTGAAATCGCTTGTAAAACAGGGTGACATTTGTATTTCTTATGACTGACGACACCTTCTTAGTCCTGAATACCTTTCTCCATCTTGGTGTCCTGGATTACACTTCCTAGGATTCATGGCCACTGGCTACAATCTTGTGGTCACTACGGTCCAAAACATCTGAAAGCCACCTGATTGGGGAAGCCTGGTCCTGAGACTTATTGGGTTAGATCCAGACTGAGTTATCCTCTAGGCCAGTGGGGGCAAACCCATAGCACACATGCCACAGCGGGTACACAGAGCCCTCTCTGTCGGCATGCAAGCCAAGTCACCCCAGCATTGCCCCAGCAGCTGAGCATTGGATAACAGCAGATATAGGGGCCATGCGCATGCTCGGAAAGGAGTAGTGGAGCCAGGCGATGACATCACGTGCCATGACTCATTAGCTGCAACTTGTCCGAGCTTTCACATGGCCAGTCCGTGCGCTGCCAAGGATATATATATATTTGCTTGGACTTGCTGTTTTCAGCTTTGATTGCAGTGTTGGCACTTTGCGATAAATAAGTGGGTTTTGGGTTGCAGTTTGGGTACTTGGCCTCCAAAAGGTTCACCATCACTGCTCTAGGCCCTCTAGAATCAACTGGATGCGTATTATTCACTTAAACCCCATGGCTGTTCTCTAAGCATGACTTATGTCTTGCCAGATGAGAATTCTATGCTACAAAAGCTGAAGCTGGTTGACTATTTCTAATGGGGGAACCTTCATTTTTCAGTGTATAGGCCACTTTTTAAAAAATATGTCTTTGGGTTCAATTGATGTTTTCCTACAATATTTACCAAGCATAATTGTCCCTGTTAGTACTGTATTAAGAGCCTCTATGTAGGAAAGAAATACTGACATACACCCAGTAGCATAATAACATCCTTTCTCGAAAGCTCTGTCAGTATTTATAATTTCAATGAAATATTTTGTCCAAGAATATTGTTACTTTGCTACTAATAATAAAAATTTAAAAACACAGTTTCAAAAAAATAGAAAGTAAACACTGACAAAATTTTGTTAAAAAAACACAATGAAGGGCTACTTATTTTCTTAGAGTTACATCAAACATTTTGTATGTATTTATTTGTTACATTTTATAGTATCCAACACGGCTTAAGTTCTCTAGGATTTCAATTTCCCAAAAATGACATAAAATTTAAAAGTTTAAAACTACAGCATAAAATAGAAGAAAAACCCAAAGTAAATCTAGCAACAGTATCAAGATTTAAAATACATTAAAGGAGGAAAAGCAATAGAGACGGAAGTAATAAAATTCCTGGGAAAATAAGGCTACCAGAAATAGTATGACCTAGGTACCAGGCAAACCTTTCTGGGAAGTTCATTCCACAACCAGGTGCCAAAGCAGGAAAGGCCCTCTTCTTAACAGACACCTACCTGACTCCTATTAGAAAAGGTTGCTGAGGGTGATCTTAGGGGCCAGGCAGATCGATATGGGAGAAGATAACTCTTCAGGTAACCCGGATCCCCAACTTTTTTAGAGCTCTGAATGTTAAGACTATCAGTTTGATTCTGGACCAGACAGGGACTGGCAGCCAGTGCAAATGCTAAAATACAGGCTTAATATCATCATTTTGTCCAATCCTCGTTAACAAATCTCACTGCCCTACTTTGGACCAGCTAAACTTTCCAGATCATTTTCAAAGGCATATGTCATTGCAGCAATCCAGCCAAGAAGTTACCACAGCATGGATAACTGTAGCCAGGCTATCCCTGTGCAGATACGAACATGTGGGCATAACAAACTAAACCACCAAAGGATGCTGCATGCCACCAAGTCCACCTGTGCCTCTAGTGACAATGCTGGATCCAAAAACACTCCCAGACTACAAACTTGATCCTTTAGGAGGAACACAACCTTCTTCAGAACATGCTAAATATCACTCCTGCAGGCAATAGCACTAATAGTATCTCTATCTTGTTTGGGCTGAATCTGTTTATCGGCCCTCATTGAGTCTATCACTTTGCCCAGGCAGCCACTGCCTCACCTGGATTTGATAAAAAGAAGAGTCAGAGTTGGGTGACATCTGCATTAATAATAGCATCTCACCTCACACCTCTGGACAACCGCATCCCCCCACCTCGCCCCAGTGGTTTCATGCAGATATGAAACAGCATAGGGAATAGAGCCCTGAGGAACCTCACAGCATAGCTGCCAAGGCACAGAGCAATAGTCTCCCAGCATCACATGCTGGAATCAGCCATCCAAGTAGAAGTGGAACCACTGCAATGCCTTTGATGCCCAAACCCTACAGACTCTCCAGCAGACTGTAGAGAATAGAATTGGAAGCACTAAGAGAATCACCAGGTTTTCACACTCCCCATTCCTCCCTTGACAGAGATGATCCAAAGATAATTCCATTTGAACTATCAAATGGATAGTTTGTGACCAAGGGTGACCAAGATAGTTCCATTTGAAAAAGGGTGACCAAGATAGTTCCATCCGAAAACCTGGCCTGAACACCAAATGAAATGGATTCAGAGTGCCTGATGTTGACCAAGCTACCACCTGTTCAAACATTTTGCCCAGGAAGGGAATGTTGGCTACTGCTGTATGATGGTTATCAGCATCTGGGTCTAGCTTAGACCTTGTGGCACCATACCCTCTCTCGAGGAAGAGCTTACAAGCTCCCTGGCCCCTCTATGTTAAAAGTAATAAGCCATGAAATGCAGGGGTCAAGGGAATAGGTGGTTGTCCAGATGAGGCCAAGCACCTCATCCACATCCTTGGGCCTCAACTTTTGAAACTCATCCAATAAAACTTGTCCAGATGATGGACAGCTCTATTAACAGTACTGGAGTAATTGTAGTATCCAAATATTGTACTTCCCCTTACACAAAAGGATTTTCCTCTTCTGTTCTCCCCAGCATGCCCAAATCTGTTCTGGAGTTCTCTCAAACCTCTGGAACACAGGTTTGAGGGGCAGAAAATAAATGTGTGCTGGGAGTGGGGGAAGAAAAGAATCCATCCCACCAAGTGTATTTATTTCACTGGTGGTCTTTATTAACTGCACAATGCTATGCCTGTCTACTCAGAACTGAGTTCAACAGAGCTTGTTGCTGCTACATGTTTTCTCTGACTTATGGCGACCTTATGAATGAATGCCCGCCAAGATGCACTGTCCTCCACTGGCAGCTCTCATATACTCAAGGCTGTGGCTTCCTCTATGGAATCAATCCATCACATATTTGCTCTTCCTCTTCCCCTCCTGCCTTTGACTTTTTCCTGGCATTGTCGTCTTCTCCAGTGAGTCTTGCCTTGTCACAATGTGCCTGACGTACGACAGCTTCAGCGTTGCCATTTTTGCTCCCAGAGAAAGTTCTGGCTTTGCTCTAGGACCCACTCATTTGTATTTCCATTTCCATTTTGGAGCAGATAGATCTGCTCTAAAATTGATTCATAATATAATCCTGTGCATGCCTACTCAGAAGTAAGTCCACTGAGTTCATCATTTACTTTTAGGTAAATGTGTATAGATGTGCAGCCTAAGTTTCATATATGATCATCTGATGCACTTTTACACAGATACCTCTCAGTGCAGTTGAACTTACACCCAAATTATACATAGGATTATGGCTTCATTATTAAATATCTTTGCAGTGAGTGTGAAAAGTATGTGTGAAAAGCAACAGATTAAAAATAAATAAGGGTAAAAATTATTTAAGGATGAAGTGGAACTTGCAATGATAAAACAGCAAGATCTTTTTTAAAATGTTTATTTTAAAGTTTCCAGAGTGATGTGTTCAGAGAAGACTTGTTTTGAAAAAATTAGCAAAGCGTTAGATTAATAAAAAACAGGCCTTGGTAAGGCAGTAATTCCCAAACAATAAAGGCATGGAAGCCTTGTAGCTTGGTCATCCAACTCTCCACAGAGGATAATAAAAACAGTATGTTTTAGGAACTGGGACAGTGACTGAGTTCTGTACAACTTAAAATCTGTTGAAATCAAGGCCTCAGTGACTTTTTGAAATTTTACTAGCATCTCCCAAATACTGCTGTAAAATGTATGGGTTCATATTTTACAAACTTTTATTCTGAAGTTCCTTTTCCTCCATCAGGAATTTGAGCAGCTGTAAAATCAACAGGTAGTGACTGTGCTTACCTTGCCAGGCAATTCTCTTCAGCAGCACACCTCAGGTTGTACATGGATGTTCTTTGGACATAGGTGGATGCTTGGATGTAATAGGGATCTGGCACTAAGTCAGGAAGACCTGCAATGCATCAAACCACACCACAACAGCAAAAATTAACAAGCCCAGGGCAAACATCATTTTATCTAACCAGCAGGTGAAACCTTCCATCCATTATACAGCACAAGCTTTACAGCTACGCACAGCTAATAAGATCAAGAGTCACTTTTCGCAAGAACAAAAGAAGCACACAAAAAAATCAGTGTGTTTAGTAGACTGGCTCTGTAGCATCCTACTTTTTCTCATAATCTTCAAGGCATCTCCCTACACCCCCCATAAGGACACCAGCTGTCGAGAACATTTCAATTTGCGAGATCAAAATACCAGAAATATATCTGATCCTGTGCAACTGTGCTTTGTTTCATGGAACTGCAGTTGAGCTGCAACAAAAAGCTGTGAGCATCCATTAGACAAGCAATGGTTTGAATTAGTCCAATTAAAATAAAAGATGAGCCTTAAAATGAAGGACATCTGCCTGCCCTACTTTACAGCTCCAAGGGGAAGAAGCCCTTCTGTTCATTTCCTCTGTTCTAAAAGGAGACAGACCATCATGATTCCTTCTTCAGAATCAGACTGAGCCCCAAAACCTGTTGTCTCTGCATTGGGGCAGGAGAAATATTAAGAAAGGCTCTGAGCATCTACAAAGAGACCTTCCATCATTGCCACGTTAGGGCTGCGCTGTAGTTTGGAGGTCCAAAAGATGGCTGTTTAAGCCGGCTCAAACTCCAGGACCTCTCTAAGAAAACGAACCGAGTTTGCAAAGTATGAACACTCTGTCCTCCCTCCCTGTCTTTTCCGTAGGTTTCTGTGTCTGCTGTGGGAGAAAGGTTTGGGGACGAGTTTGGTTTGGTTTGGGGATGCTTTGGTTTACCTTGTCTTTTGTACTATTTATATTAAGTGCAAAGGCTTTCTTTTCGGGTGTTTAGAGTACGCTTCTCAAAAGTAGCACTGGGAAATACCAGTTTTCGGCAAGTATCTTGATTCCTCAAGCAAGAGGCTCCGGACTGCCCTGCGCTGGGGAGGGGCAGAGCGGGTGGCCAGGAGAAAGTTGAGACCAGATGGTCATTAGCGGCTATGCAACTGCCTCCCCTGCCAACTGGCCGGTGTCAAAACGTGCCGTCTGGCGACGAGGCCGGGATCTGCCACGCGGCCGGGATGGGCTCCCCCACCCCTTTCGCTCATGCTTTGTTTTTCGGGAGGGAGGCAGCGGCACTCGACTGCTGCGCGTCCACCCGAAGCGCGTAGCCCCGCCTCGGCGGGCCCGCGGGGGTGCGTGGCTTCCTTGCAGAAACTTGCCGCCACCCCTCGCCGCGCTTCCTCCAGGCCAGGGCGGCAAGCCCCCCACTCGGGGCGCCTCGCCTGGCCGCGCGGTGCCCGTGGCAGCAGCCACTCTTACCGTACTGGAAGTAGCCTGTGCCGTAGCCCGGCCGGTAGCGGCTGCTCTGCCGGGGCCGCTCATAGGTGTCGTGATAGTTGTAATAAGGGTTGTCGTCCGTGTACTTGTAAGGGTTGTAGGGGTCGTCTCCCACCATGGCGTCTTCGCGGCGGGGCGGCCGAAGGCTGCTCAGAGGAGGCGGGCCAGTCCCGTTGCCCGGCCTCGAGGTGGCGCTCTCGAGGAAGCTGCTCCGCGGCGCCCCTTGCGGGCTGCCGCTCGGTTGGCCCCTGTCGCCCCCGGTGCCGCCGCCATTGCTTCTGCTCGGCTGCTGGTAGCCGGCTTGGAACCAGTGCTGTGCCTCCGGCCGCCTGGAACTGGAGCCGGCGCCCCTGCCCCTGGCGGGAGCTTCAGTAGCTGCCCCCTGAGCCCTGCGCGGAGAGGTGCTGTTGCCCCTGAGCAGCAAAACGTGGCCGCCCTGCGCAGGCTCTTGGCTGTTTCTGCGCCGAGCGGGCTGGTACTGGGAGCCCACGCTGAGGAGGCTGTACACCTGCCCGTTGTTCTCCCACTGAATCCTTTGCTGCCAGACGGCGGGAGGGGGTGGCGGCGGGTTCCTCTGCGGCAGGCCGCCCGCCGGCAGCCAGAGCAGGCAGCCCCAGTAGATGCAAGCCTGTAGTTGGGCGAGCCCCAGAAGAACCGGCGGCCAGGAAAGGAAGCGCATCGCGGCGGCGTGTGTGCCCTTTGCAAGCAAGCGGGATCCCCGCTCGGCGACCCTGCGGGATGGAAGGACGAGGAATCCGAGGCGGCGGCAGCCCGTGCAAGCTTTTCTTTTGTTTCTTCCAGCCGCCGCAGACCTTCCTCCGCGCGTTCAGTCCCGAGGAGATGGTGACTTCCCCCTCCCCTTCTCTTTTTCCCAACTTCGTATTCTCTGAAGAAGAGAGCTTGAAGAGGAGGCGCAGCAATGAGACACCCGTCTCCCCCTCTCGCTTTGGCTGGTGTGTGGAATGAAGCGGCAGGATAGAGAGAGATGGAGAGGGAGGGGGAGAGACGGGGGAGGGGAGGGAGGGAGGGGATAAGGAGGAGGAGATGAGGGATTTTAAACTTTCTGGCATATTTGCAAAGTTACACAAGCCCATTCTGGCAAGCGACTCCTTTGCTATTCGTTCGCGTAATGCGGCTGGAAACGTGCGAGCCTGACAGCTCCCCCATCTACCCCCCTCCGGCCCAATTCCCCCGTTTTTCTATCTGTCGCCTCCCAGCTTCTCCTATGGTGCTGACCCAGAAGGACAAACAAGAAACGGCATCTTATATCTGCAAAGCCTCGCAACGGTTTGGCGGGGTTGCCTCGCTACAGTCTGCGTGCACCTCACCATCTAGGGTTAACTATATGCAGGCATTTCCCTTCCCTCAGACTTCTTAGGCTGCCAGGTGGTGGGGCACTGCCAAAATATGCACAGAGAAAAATGCTATTAGATCATCAGCGCAACTTGAGAGACAAGAAAGCAGAGTAAGGCAGAGAGACGGAACATGTTTTCTGGGAAATATTTTCACCATAGACATCTCCCACAATTTGAGCTCTGGCGGGGAAACGGTGGTGGTGGTGGCAGGGTGAAAAACAACTCCACGTCCTCCTGCAATGCCCTTTTCATTATGGCCCAAATCCTCCTCAAATAAACTCTTGCATACCACGTTTTGTTTTTCTCTGTGTGAGTCACACAAGAACTTCGTGACAGACGTGTCTCCTGGAGGAGATTCACTTAAAAGTGAGTTTTCCCATGAAACTGATCATCCATCCTACTGAGAATATTAGCTAGAAAAAATAGGGAGTAGAAGGGGGACTACTCTGAAACTTCCCTATTTTTTCTTTCTCCAAGAAAAATGCTATCAGTCCAAAAACACCTATTATAACCTATCAAGACCTGTTTTGCCCCTGAAGTAACAGTTTAAATTAAATACAGTCTCCAAACATTTTAAATGCTACTGTCTGCAACAAATTAAAGAATAGTGCTGATAAATCATGTCCAAGTAAGAAAAAGCTTTTTATCTCAATATTGAATGTCTTTATTTGGTGAGCACATGCACTTTAAAACTTATAAAGGTGCCTTATACCGGTCCATCTAGACCAATATTGCTACTTTAACTGTCTGTAGCTCTCCAAAATCTGAAGCACAGATCCTTACTCTCATCTGCTACCTAATCTGGAAATATATAGGATTAAACTTGGGATCTTCAGCATGCAGTGCATTTGCTCTAACACTGAACTTTGGCCCTTTCCCATAGGATTGAACTTCATAGTTCTGCATTACTTGAATATGAACTGTTTGTTACACACACAAATCACCATGGTGAAAATTACATTTACATCAGGCACCGGCATCTACTCAGTATAACATAAACTAACAGTTAGCAACTCTCTAGGTAAATTATCACCTATAGTGGTTCCTCCTCAGCCACTGTTTTAAGGAATACTTGCAAAACCCTGTCCCTTCAACAAAATTGCAGCTTTTACATTGGATTACCTGAACTAACAAGCACTACTCAGTTCTGTCCTCAGTGTCAAATGCAGTTGGAATCTCCAGTTCACATCCTGAACAGACATTAAAGTGACAAGGGAGTCCATCCTTTCATTTTTCTATGGCTATTGGATGCTATAGAAATAAATGCTTTAACAATATGTCAACTGTACCTCTCATCCTTCTCACATTTGTTCTTATGCCACCATAATTATGTGGAAAAGAGGGCAGGGCCATGCCTGCCCGGAATACCTTCACCAAGCATGTGTTGGAAGAACGGATGTGGTAAAGCATCCCTATTTTGCATGCATGATCTCCATGCGGCGTCACAGAGGGACCATTGTCCATAAAACAGGCTTCCCTCTGCAAACCCCCTTCTCCAATGTGTGCATGGCAAGGCCAGGTTTCCCTCCCACTATGGAGAATAATACATGAAGGAGGCCAATGTGTCAAGGAGATGTAAGTGCGTTAAATGTTAGTTAATCCACATAATCTTGTGTGAATACCCCTAGTCTTTATTGTAGCTATGCTTTCTTCAGCACGTATTCTTATAACTGGGTATTTTTATCTACACTTTTGTTTTAAATGAGCAGCAATTTCATTGTTTTAACAATAATCTTCTATAATCTCATTAACTGGAATAGTATAGAAAGAAATGCAAACCCCATGATGTTGTTTAGCCAAGACAGAGGTGCACATGTTTAAGAATGGCATAAGAATTCACACAGTTTTAAGACTTCAAAGACCATTACGCAATATAATCTAGAGAAAACTGCATTCATGAGATAAAGTGTTTTTGTAATTAAATGACCATAAAATTAACACATAATATACAAAATATATTGGACCTTTAATGGAAAAGAAATGATGATACTGAACGAACGAATAACAAAATAAACAGAACTGTTCAAAATTAAATTAAGCAATAAGCAACATATCCCTTTTACCTAGTTCTCCAGTTTATTAGATTTGAGGGAGAACTGTGAAGAAGTGAACCTGTATTAATGGAAAGAATATTCCCACCAAGACTGCCAGTACTCCTTTTCTATGGTACATCTTCTGAGAAGCAGCAGTGAAGTAAAAGGCATGTTATTGCTGCTTTGTTGTTGTTAGTTGCTAGAACCATTTGTAATCCATATGCTTTTGTCACCATGCTTGCTGGACACTACATGTTTGGAAATTCCATTTCTGTGTCCAAAGAATAAGGCCTTTCAGAACACAAATGATGGGAGAATTTGGCCTATTCAAGCACATAATGCACATATATAGGTAGCAGAATAGCCTTGTAAGGTACTCTGGAGGACTCAACAGAGACAAGATGAGAGCTTTTCCAGAAAAGGAGTTTTATTGAGAAAGCAAAACAAAAAGCACACTGTAAGGTGAATTACTGAATGTTTGCTCCAGAATGGAGAAGGGTGGTAAAAAAGAGGTGGTGGTGAGCCAATGGAAGCTCCACAGTGATGCTTGAATATTGTGGGTGGAGGGAGGGAAGAGATTAAAACAGGAAGAGAACATGTTTTACTTTTTCCTTTCCTATCCTCTGTCTGAAAATACATTGAAAGGAGGGCAAAGATAGTCCTTAGCATGAGGATGAGTACCAAACCAAAAAAGGCTAGGAGAGCAGATGAAAGAGATGATTCAAGAATTAATTTACAGTTGTTAATTTTCAGGAAGCAACTAAATAATTTTAAAGGGATGCATATCAGTGAATAATAAAGATTGTTCCAGTAAATAACTTAATCCTCAGAGAAGCAACTACTGGGCATTGACAAAATGTGTTTAAAAGAGGCATTAGCTTTAGCACAATGTTGAATTAGACAATCCTGTATTTAAAAAAAATGTTTAGTGCACCATAGACATGAAACACAAGTAATCCTCTTACGGCCTAAGATCCATAGACTCAAACAGGGAGACACCAAAGTGGTGATCCACTGATGAGGCATTTGTGGTGGTTCACACACCAGTTTCTCAACTTCCCTGATTGCCAACAGGTCCAAAAAGGCTAGGGACCCTTGCTTTAGAGAGTCCAGGAGTTCCTAGGCCAGAAGGTAAGGGCTGGCACACCGCTTTCCCTTTCCAATGGCAGGTATTAGTGAGGCCTGCAATATGCCATCCTCCTTTGCTAGGTCTTGCCAGCTAAGAGAGTTTCAGATAAAATTGAACTTTTTGAGCCATGGTGATGTCGTAGGGATCTGCAGTTGCGAAGGCAAGCAGATGTTGACACTAATCCCTTGCCATCCACAATGTGCCATTTTATACAGTAGTTAGTCATTCTGCTTCTTTTCTCTGTTTTACTATTTTGGAAACAGCTGCTTAATTACGACATGAGGAATTTCCATACACCCCAAATGAGGAAGCGCCACAACACTCCCAAATATATTCAGTACAGCAGTGTAGCATATTGCAGGAGGAAAACCAAGAAGGCTTCTTGACGGAGCCATGATGAATTTATGTGACCGCATAGAAAAATAAAAACCATAAGCAGATGCTTGGATACAACAATGTCGTTCTGTCAGTGGAACAGATTTCACCTCTCTCTGCAGTTGCCTGTGTACATCCCAAATCTACTCTGAAGGCCCAGGGGACTACAAAGGGAAAAGGACTAAAGTGGGAACAGATTTGGAATGAATATAGGGAACTACCAGGGAGATGGAAGGACAGGAAAAGTCCACTTGGATTAGTAGATTTCTTTTCACATGATGTTGGATCAAAGCTATTGTTTTCAATTAGTGTTACAGGTCCAGTTTGCGATGTGCAAACATCAAAACTTGCACCAACCTTCCCTAGCATAGCACCCTCCAGATCTGTTGGACTACAGTGTCCATCATCCCCAACCAACATGGTTGATCTGCTGGAGAGATTGCCTTTCATTATGTTCAGATAGCTCATCTCAAGTCCCTAAGTGTTTTCCTTTGTGTTCACTTGATTCTCTTCTTCACTCTCTGTTCCTGATAGGAGCAAACAATGACTAAGTCAGAGAAAAATGGAAAGTCTGGAAAAGCTGGAAAATACAACCCTGAATAAAATGAACCCTCTGTATTTCTAATCTTCACATAAATCTGACCAGTTTCACAAATAGCTTGTTGTTTCCTAATGTGTGATATTAGAAAATGTTTCCACACACCATGGGATTCCAGCCATAGCTTTTTGTGCTTTTTCTGATGACTTCACTGTTCTAATGAAAATGAAGAAAGCAGTAACTGAGCACATTACTACCCACTGATTGGAAGGGTACATTTTTACTACCACCACCACGCCACCTCCAATGCTTTGTCTTGTGTGTTTTTAATTAATATGGGGTTTGTGAGTCATGATAATGTTATGTCAACAATACTGAAGACTCAAGTCCTCTACTGGAGAATCAATTTATTTGTTCATAGAGAGCTTGTAATCAGTGGAGTACTGCCAATTGGAAGCAGACAGACTTCACTAGGTCTTA